CAGCTTGAACTCTCGCAGCTGGCGTGGTCTCAAAAGAAAATAGATCTCATCACTCATCATCAAAAAATGAGGCATGCAGACTGTCGCCGCTTCCCAAATCATGCCCCGAATCAGGCAATGTTCGCAGGGTGGGCAGAGATGCAATGGGAGGGTGCTGTGAGAACGAAGGCTAACTGTTTGCTGAGTTCTTTAGGGTATTGTTCAGCAACTTTGGTCCATGGGATGCCCCCATGAGACCTGGAAAAACCGGTGAGTTGAAAATGTCGTTTCCTTGTTTTTACAGCACCAGCCTCCAACGCCGCCGCAGCCACGAAGCAGGCGAGCTGTGTCCTGCAAATCGAAGTTGCCACAAAGGAGTTTGGTCCGTTTTTTCCATGGGGCTCCAAATTGGCAAAGATCAACTTCCAGCAACAAGCATTGCTCCAGGAGAGGTGTCATTGGTGGAAGGAACCAGCGTTTGGAACTTGCAGGGTGTTCTAGAATCCACGGCACTCGGTACGACTGTAGGCACGAGATCACCTTGAAGCAAGTCTCAAACCAGCTGTTTCCTAAAATAACTCTCTGCGATTCATGTTCAGAAAGAAGATGCCGAGGGAGACCCCAAGGGAACTGCTCTGACCGGAGTACTTTTGCGCGATCACGGGCCGTTGAAAAACTAGTGTCAGGAGGACTTAGCGTCGCGGCCAAAATTCTACCTGCTGCGATGTCTTTCAAAAGTCTTTTCACGACTGTCGGCTTCATCAGATCAAAACGATTCCCATGCTCAATGTCCCACTCTTTAGCGCAAAAGCCCAGCCGTCTCACTTGATGCGCCACTCCTCCTGCGCCAGAGTCTGCCAGAGAAAAGATCAGCCGCAGCCACATATCTGCAATCTTGCGTCTCAAGGTGGCGCTGGTGGGCTGATACGGCCCAGCATCACATCCCCGAGCGCTTGTTCGGCGTGAAGGCAGTGGCGCTGGACGCGGAGGGGCAATTCTTGGAAGTTGGCCGCCAAGCGCGCAGCTCGCTCGTACCTGGTGACGCTTTTGTGACTCTTCCACCGACCTCTCTTCTGCGCTTCCAGCAACGACCTGATGTTGCGGCTCCGTCAATCGAGGGGCCGGAGTGACGAAGGTGGTACGGGGTCACTTCCACGTTCAGGCTCTTGGCAGCTTGGGAAAAGACATGGGAATAATCTGAGTACATGAAGTCCCACAGCGGCTGGCGCCGCGGCTGGGCACGCAGCTCTTTCAAAAGCGTTGGTGCCCATGGCAGCAGGTATGGTGTGTCCAGCAAGAGAGAGTCGTCGAACTCGTTCGTCTTGGAGGGGTGACCCAGTTCTGCTGCGCATATGCGCATAGGAGTTGGTGGAACCAGCGAGAAGACTCTGCAAGCTGATAATAGTTCTGATGGCCGGGCATAGGACGCCAGACCCAAGATGGTGAACAACGCCATCCTGACTTGCTGCTGGCGAACCATCTCCACGCAAATCGCTGACCATACTGCAAGTGGGAAGGCTTTGCGGCTCTGGCCAGGTGCCAATCGCCTCCACCCCTTGAGAGCGCGGTTGGCGCGATGTAGGGATTTGGACCCATGGCGCCCACAACTGGCATGGAGATGGCAGACGGCAGCCATCAGTTTGTCTCCGCGATGGGCGGGATGGCCTTCCAAAAACTTTGCTGTCATGTACTGGCACAAGGCGTGGTCCATTCCTGCAGCATTTGACAGGCTCAGATGGGTCTTCTGCGCATATGCTTTGAACTGGTGGAATTCCGCCAAGTAGTACTTCTCTGTCTTGGTCTGGACGGCCTTTTTCTCCAGAAGAGTCAGCCCTTGCGACTGAGCTTCCAGAATTTCGTCCAGATACAGCCGCAGGCGGCGGCGACCTCTGCGCACCAGAAGCTTCTGTTTTGTCAGCGGCTTGGCTTCTGTCGTCTCTGAACTGGAGTCGGAGCTGTGAGTTGACCTCTTGCTTCGCTGTGGGATGCAGCTTACATTGGCTGGTTGCTCCAGGGAAGTGACGTGTTGTTTCACTTGTGGAGAGCTTAGCCGGCGTGGCTGCTGCTTTGGGACCAAGCGCTCCATTCGGTGAAAATGGGTGGCTCCAAGGCTCGAAGCCTCTTGGCTTGTCCGCTTCGTTGTTTGGCCATTGGTCCGACAGTGTCATCGCACGCGCGGCTTCCATCAAACTAGAAGGCAGTGAGATGAGCTTGAGATTGTAGGGCGCGAGTGAGATTGCGGAAGAAGGTTCAAAATAATCCGTCTCCCCGTGGAGCAAATCCTTTAAAGGCTGCCTCCTGAGTTGGCTCTCTCGCCAGGTCACCAAGATCACTAGCGGTAGTTGCCAAACCCGAATTCGATTCAGGCATTCCATTTGGAGCGGGCTGAGATCTCCCGCAACTGGAGCTGAAAAACCAAAACCTTGCATCCAATTCAGAGACAAAATAGCTTCATTCATCTCTCCATGCAGTCGCCCGGCCATGCCTCTGAGACTGTCTGCGGCTGTGGTAAAAGACATCCTCAGAAACATTCACCAAAGGCAGAGGGAAAATGCTCCTCTGCGAGCGCAGGCCTGGTGGCATTCTTGTAGCGCCGCAGCCGGCATTGAACTCATGCGCCTGACCGCGCCTCCAAGGCGCGACCACGGCCCTTGGCTGGTCGCTTCTTTGGGTTGGCGCCGGAGGGAACTGAACCTTCTGCTACTGCTAAAGCCGCCTCATCACTCACTGAAGCAGATCCTCCTTTTCGTAGCTCGCGGATGCGGGCTCTGGCTTGGGAAATGTCGGCCTCTTCTTTGCCACGTCGAGCTGCCCAACTCCGCAACTGAGGCGACACCAGATCTTCTGGGCCCTGGTAGCCTGAAAAGAGCTTGGAGTTGGACCAGTCAGGCGGCAGAGTAGGCTTCCACTATCGACTGAATTCGCCTGGCGAGGACCTCCGTGCTGGCTAAAACTGGGAGGTTCAGCTGGTCAAAAGTGCCACCATAGTAAAAAGAATCTGTCAGGCAGCGAAGCTCATGCATCACCCGGTCGGTCTCATAGATCCCCTTCTGTCTTGCCCAAAGCTGAAGACACTGCCGAGGATCGCCCCCGAACTTGTGCATCACGGTGCTGGGGCCTTCACGCGGCCAGTCAGGGTAGGAGTAGTCTCCTGCGCAAACTTCCTCCAGTCCTTGAGGCGCACACCTTGCTCGTCAAAGTCGACGAAGAGGGTTCGGGCATCCGGGCGCTCGTCTGTCGGCTCCTCCTTTCCTTTCAGGTCTTGTGGGGTAAAGTCACTGCTGCCCAAGCTTTTGAGCAGACCGTCGCGGGAAGACTCGTCCATGAGACGACAAAAAAGCCAACCGGCGTCCATCTTCACAAAAGCCATGTCTTCTACCATCACATCCTTGCTGGGGTCAATGGTCGCAACCTCTCCTCGTTGAAAAGGAGGCTTGTCTTCCATACATGTCCATTCCTTCCCTGCTGGTGGCAAGGCTGCTCTCTGAACACTGTCCTTGAACTTCACCTGCGCTTCCTCTAAATCCTCTGCCTCGAGGACTTCTCCTTCGAGCACCCCACCACCTTTTCGAGTGATTCTTCTCAAGGGCAGCAAGTTTCCTAAAAATGAGGCTGTAGGATGAGAGACACCCTTCATGTCCATGACGGTTGGGGGTCTCCATGCCTGGTCAAAACCTTCACTTCGTGACAAATCACGAAAGGAGTCCTTCACCAAGGTCTTGAATTCGTCATCCGTTGGCTTCTGGCGGAAGACAAGGCCCATCTCCTCCATTGAAGTCCACACCTCTCAGGTCTTCTACGTAGCTGTCGTTGTCAGGGGTGAGCACCATCCAGACACCATCCTCCTGGCGCCATATGGCAATCCTTTCGTGCCAGACTGTGTCATCTTCGTAGAAGACGGCCAACGTCTGGCCAGGCACTATCTGCAGTAAGGATTCCATGTCCTTTTCTTCGTGGGCTGGGCTCCACAGTCGGGATCAAACGAAATCGATAGGACGAGAGCCAGCCAAGGACAAAGGAGCAAAGGAGAATTCCAAAAGTCTTGCGCGTGGTTGACTCAAAGATAAGGTGAGCAGGATGGCAATGACACTCACAAATGCAGCTGGTTGAAGATACTGAAGCTGATGGCAAAAGATCGCTAGAGGCTCGAAAGCTCTCCTTGAGACCCACCTGGACCAATTGACAAAGGCAGGCCAGGATGAGCCCTTCGATTTTCATGGCATCAGACAAATTCAATCCTTTGAGCCGTTTTGGCCACGTCAGACCACTACACTTTCAATCTTCTCGTGCAAGCACTTCCATATTTACAGTATAATTCTGCAGGGGGTCTTGTAACAAACCAAAAACCGCAAAGAAGGCAAGCGCACCTGTTTTTTCAGTTGGATCAAGCTCCTGCCGGCTATACCTGAGAGCGTCTCAGGTATAGACTGTCCCCGTCCCACGAGCGTCGCAGGCCCACCTGATCTGGGAAGCGTCCCACCTGCCAGGTGAATTTCCGGGAGGGTGGGGCAGGGAAAGGAAGATTCACCTGCCCTCGAGCCTAACAAGACTAGATGCAAAATACTGTCATGACGTGTCATGAGTGTATTCTGCAGGGGGTCTTGTAACAAACCAAAAACCGCAAAGAAGGCAAGCGCACCTTTTTTTTCAGTTGGATCAAGCTCCTGCCGGCTATACCTGAGAGCGTCTCAGGTATAGACTGTCCCACTTTCAGTCA